TTGTATTTGTATTAGCTCTGCCAACCCTATATGTATCTCCGATGTCACTTTCAGAATATTCGATTCCGAGTTTGTTTCTCAATAGGGTATAGATATCTTCTTTGGTATTTTTTTCTTGCTAAGCTGGTTATGAATAGGTTATATTTCTTAGAATGTTTTTCTAGACTGTTGGTTTTCTTCTTCATCCAGCCATTCTCTTTTAATAACTCCACATTTATTTTTTTCAATTGAGCTAGTTCAGTTTGTAAGGTAGTTAGTTTATGATTCAAAATATCAATGTCTTTTTTAATTGTATTATTCTGTCTACCTATATTTTTGTTTTGTTGCTTTATTTCAGTTAATAATTCGTAAATTGTTTCATTGAGGATACTCATATCATTACTTTTTTTTATGAACACAAACACATTCAGCACGCGTTCCTCGTTTATTTGATCTGGAATTTTGCCTCAAACCACTGGAATAAAGCAGACTTTGTCTGAATGTTTAGTGTTGAATGTCTGAATCCGGCTTGATAATTACGGGTTAAGGCGACCACACACACACACACCAAGATACACCTCGGTGTTATTCATTCACTTGTCTTGCCAGATGTGGCTAATTTCAACCACCTTTTGGTTTAGGCCCAATTGAATTGATTGAAGATATTATTAAATTATTACTAACTCAGGCTTAAAAACTGATTTTCATCTTCACTAGGTTATTTATTCGCTGTAGTTTCACGGATGTTTTGATGTGAAATTAGAAATTTTTATCAGTAAAAAAACACTAAAACTTTAGTTTCTGTCGGGACTCCGGCGATGCACGTGTTCACTTACTCACAGATGTTCATGTTATGTATAAAAAACCCTTATTCAAGAAAAAATATCAATTGCATCTAAAAATACTTAAAATAGATGAGGTGTTTATTTGAGAAGGTTTAGATTCTTTTGAATATTGGCGGGTTTTCAAAAATATTTAACATAAAATTACTTATTTGAGTTGTTACCTAATATCACTCGTATGAAATTTAACGAGCCGAACATGACCGATCACAGCGCAGGAACTCCCGAATGCAGTTTCGGTAGGTTTGCCACCAAAACCCGTTTTTATGCCGAAACTAGACCAAAACCGAACTTTCGATCGGACACTACATAGTATTCAGTCACTTGTCCAAGATTTTGAATCTTTCTAATTCAACGTTGTCCTAAATGGAAACAGCAACGCTACAGTTGAACTCTGGGCCAACCTATAAGTACAATGTGATGTATTGTTTGTTAGTAGCTGTTAACTCATTTGGTAAAACATATTTCACTGATGGTATATATTAGCAAAATAATGCACTGTAAATAGCTATACAAAATGTGCTAAGCAATAATTGATTTTTTCTGGGCTGAACATAGAGTTTAGAAATTCAAATTACACCAATTTACTGTGATTCTCTCTTTTACGTCACATGTAGTTCCGAAATTTTCTCCTGTATAGTAACTTGTAAACAAGATCAAAAATTGTTTTGTCTTTTTGGATGACCTGGTTGTATAAATAATAATTAGTATATAGCATAATGAATATTTTTTCTGTACCAACCTTCATTTATCATGAATAGTATACATCAATGTAATACACAACCTACACACTTTTAAAAAAATATTCCCAACAATTCACTCCTCAAAATGGCCTAATCCTCAGTGATGTTCTCGAATGCCACCCTTACTTTATGCTATAGTTCTTCAGGAGTAGCTGATGTTGTATTGTAAACCTGATTTTTAATTGTTTCCCAGAGAAAAAATCTAGTGGAGTGAGATCTGGTGATCTAGAATATGAAAAAGAAATAATACATTTATATAAAAGTATGACAACTCACGAATGTACCTCGTAGGCCACCGAATAGGTCCATAAGTGCCAATCCACTTTTCTGGGAAGGTGTCATTCAGATGTTCTCTTAGGACTTGAGAATTGTGAGGTGGCGCTCCATCTTGTTGAAAATAGATATCAACTTGGTTAGCCAGTGGCAAATCTTCAATGAAATCGTTAATTTGATTTCTAAGGAACTACAGATATCTTTTCGCACTCAATTGTCAGTCGAAAATTATTGGCTCCAAAAGTTTTCCTGTGATAATACCCATCCAGCAATTGAAACCAAATCACTAGGTCGGCTAAGCATATAATTCGAGGTGGAGAATCTTGACCCAAATATTGCGGAGAGTGAACTTTACTTACTTGCGTTTATTTCTATACAGTGCTTCAAGTGAATGACAATAGAAAATAGAAACACAAAATATTCTTTGATAGAAATAATAATAGTATCAAGGATCAAGAAAGATAAAAAAAAATACAGCATAGAAAAACACTAAAACACAGAAAACAGATAATCTTCTTCTTCTCTTTTTTTATGGTCTTTGCTTACTTTCGGCGTAGTAGACCAGTATCCTCCTATTGCATAATCGATATTATGAAACAGTCACTTCGTCCGGGGACGTAGTGTGTCTTGCTCAACGCAAACTACGTCTGTATGTTGTTGATAGACATTTAGTCCACATGAATCGAGGTTTTCTTGCCTAATTGAAACTTCTGGCTTGAATATCTGCGTTCTATTTTCATTTGCTTGTAGATTTTCACCGGACAAAGAATACATACATAGGTTGTGATATTAGGATTGAAACTAATAAATTTGAGATGAAGAGTGGGTGTACCCCCTTCTCCCGCTATTATAATTTGATATGGTTATACTCCATGAATTTACATATAATTTTTATTATGCTAATATTTAAACTTCTCAGGATTGTAGACATGTTCAGAGGAGCTGTTTTCCTTTCTATATGAATTGATTATATATATTATTTTCTGGACTAGTAGTAATCGGACATTCAAGAAAATTATGGTTTAGGGTTTGTGGTTCACCGCATTCGCCGAAATAGATGTGTTTTAATCATATAGTTACCCGTTTTCATGAGTATAAGACTTGTAATATGTCTTCTATCCATTGAGGGAACTAGAAAAACAGATAATCATCGAACGTGGATATTCGGAGTGTTGCCAAAGCAAACAGCCAACCTGGTTCCGAGCGACAGTC